TTTATATAAATTATATCACACCGCTTCTAGTAATTTTTAGCTTAAGCATATCATCGGCTAATTTTCAAAAAAAAAGAATTTCAAATTTTAATCCAAATTCTTTTCTTAAAATTCACAATCAAATTACAGCTTATCTTTAATAGTCTTATTCATTCTATGCTTTTTTTTCGGCTCCATAAAAGTCATAAATTTTTCCATCATAAATTTGTTAGAAATTGGGTTACCATTGCCAAACATTTGGATAGAAAAAGCCCAATAAATTATACCCAAAGCATCCAAACATGAAGATATCATATAAGAAATATAGTTTAATTCAGTAATTCCCTAAAATCTAAAATGTTTAAGAACGTTTGTTCAATATCTTACAATCTAATTCACAGATTTAGCATATGTACTACGTATCAAATATACAATGTGATCTCTCAATAAGCTTAGAAGGTTAATTATTAAAATTAAATAAAATTCTACAATTAGCGAAAAATAATACGGCAGATAATATGCTTATAGGTAAAGAAATTCAAAGAGCATTCCTTAAATTTTTTCGAAATTTATCAAAACTCGAAGGTAAATCATCGAGTGATATGCGAAAAAAACTTTTTTATTCTATTAATGATAATAAATATATTAGCCATATTAAAACTTTTCATTTTTTAAAACTCATAGAAATACGTTTGATATTCTTCATTAAGAACATATAAAAACGAGTATAATTATCATAATCTGTTAATTTACAATATAAATGCTTTTCTGCTTGTAGTAAATATCAAATAAGAAAATAATAACATTATAAATTTTTCAAATAAGAATATATTATCTAGCATCTAAGCATGAAGATATTTAGAATTTGGATATCTAAATTCTGCTTAGATTACTTTCAAAATATAAGTCAATAATCTTTGATTTTATTAAACGCTAATATTGGATAGTATATTTTCACAATTTAATTGTAGTTAGATAAATGATAATTCATGTAACTCATTGATTTCGATCAAAAGTTATATTCACCTTGTTAAAAAAAATATAAAAAAACCGGGTGCTTACTGATTTGAACATATTGCCTTTGAACCCCACGACATAACCAGTAGGCTAAACGTACAGTGTTTTTTATAAATTCTAGTATAAAATACTTCCCGCAGGGCATTTGTTTAATTATTTCACATTCTGATGACATAATTTTTAATATCATAGATAATGAAAGCGAAAAATAGATAAAAATCGACAAACATGTTATAATGAATTGAGAGCTTTACGTGTCAAAAAACACATTTCATACTGATTTCTATAAAAGGTATCTTTATTATAGAAGTGTAAGCTATATCTGTTTGTTTTTTTATTATAACAAATTCAAAATTCTCTTATAAGGACTAGATGAAATCTGTATTATTAAATCATTAGCTAAATGAAGGTTCAAATAGAAAGTAAATATCAATTTATATGATACTGAAACCAAATAGTTCTTTTAATAAAAGATAACACGCTGAAAATTATTGAGTATTTGCAAATCTCAAAAATCTATTGGTGAATTTGGCTCAATTTTTAAAATTATAACATCCATATCAAATCATAAAAGCAGACAAAAATTAAAGCCAAACCTATCGGCCAATTTTTTTTTGATATTTTGATTTTTGAGGTATACTTTTAAAAGTGGATTTAAAGCACTGATGAAAAAACATTAACTTCTGTCGTTATGATTATTGATTTAGACAATAATGATTTTAATCTTTGATTATCAAAACACTAAAGTCATCTTTTTAACATTTGCTTGGTAGCATTAACTCAAGTCTAAAGTACTATTTTATGTGGCACTCTTAGAATTTTTGTATTCATTGTACACGCTGAAATAGTACCATTAAAGTTATGGCGGACTTTCAAAAAATAGTTTGGTCACCTTTTTTCATGTTTATTATTGTTTTATCAAATTCCATTTCTTTTCATATTTATCAATGTTTTATGGCATTCTCTTTCATTTCATATTTATCAATGTTTTATAGAATTCTCTTTCATTTCATATTTATCATTGTTTTATAGAATTCTCTTTCATTTCATATTTATCATTGTTTTATCAAATTCCATTTCTTTTCATATTTATCAATGTTTTATGGCCTTCTCTTTCTTTTTATATTTATCATTGTTTTATCCTGTTCTCTTTCTTTTCATATTTATCATTGTTTTATTACATTCTCTTTCATTTCATATTTATCATTATTTTATATAATTTTCTTTCATTTCATATAATTCTCTTTCATTTTATATTCATCATTGTTTTATCACATTCTCTTTCTTTTCACATTAAAAAAAAAAAAAAAAAAAAAAAAAAAAGGTAGTGGGGCTTCCAGGGGCTGCGCCCCTTCTAGCCCCGAAGATGTTTAGTATAAAATGAGGTTTTTATTCGGAAAATTGTTAGTCTTCTGGTGTGAATTCGGAGGACTCTTCGTGTTTCTCTTCTTCGTGTTTCTCTTCTTCTTCCTCTTCCATTGCTTCTGGGAAGAAGTCTTCTTCTGGGTCGAAAACATTATATAATGTGTAATTGAATGACACATTATATCTTTGTTTGAGTTCGCTCTTGACAAAGAACTTAGTTCCAGGAATACAGAAGACTTCTGTGCGTTGGAAAAGCTGATGTCCTGGAACAAATTTGGCAATTAGAGACTTCTTTTTTCCGAATTGTTCAGGAGTTTCCATGACGACAGTAACAACATCTCCATCTGCGAGGTCTTGTTCTTGTTCGGAAAGGTAAAGAGCAATGATATGAATAGTTGCTGCGTTGAATTCGAGAAAGTCGAATTCAAATTGTGTTGTCGTATAGCATTCAAACCATTTTGTACAGTTGTCTCCGAACTCGTCAACGTATTCATCTTGGTCATATCCGTAACTAAAGACTTGGAATTCGGCAATTGTCTTGTCGAATGACCGTTGGATGTTACGAGGAAGATTTTGACGAACTTGGTATAAAGTTCTCAACATTATAAGCTTAGTAAATGTTGGAAAATACTGAACTAAGACATCGCTAAGCTCAATTGGACTTGGAATTGTCTTAGTAAGTTCAATTGAACTAGCAATTGCTTTGTTCAGAACTTCACAGAACTGAGTATTGTATGTAGTCTGGTTGTGTATTTTCTTCGGCGTCTTTGAGATATTTAGAGCAAATTTGTTGAAGAATTTCTCTTAATTCGCTGTTAGACTTTTTGGTGGTTATTCTAACCGCTGTGCCGGTTCTTGGAGGTTGTGGGGCTTTGGCTTTGGTTAGCGGTTGAGAATTGTTAATGTTGGCTTCCATTAGACAAAAATAAACTGTTTTTTTCGGACTACTCATAGAAAAGTTTAAAATAAACCGTTTTCGTCAACGGTAACCCCCTCTATTTTTTTTATTTTATTGAAAAGTCTCCGTTGGCAAACCGTTCCATCTCAAATATTGAATGAACTATAAACGTTTTTTGTTTCTATACATACTTTTTGTCCAACGGTAAAACTTTTTACACAACGGTTTTTGAGAGTCGTCGCCGTTGACTTTTTGTAGAGCACTCAAAATAGTATAACTTTGTCCGGACAAGTAAGGGTCTATCGTCGCTACAGGAAAAGTTACAGGCGTTCCAAGGAAGTATACTTTGAGAAGACTTTCCCCCTTATAGAATGAGATAGGACGGTTATTTTACAAAACTGACAACACTTTGACCGAGTAGTTTTTTGTGCTGAACAAATAGTGTCATATAAACATCTGTCAAAAACCGCTTTTTAACTTCACTTAAAATGCCACGTAAGCTACGTAAGAATATACGTAAGAGGAAGAGAGCATTGAAACATCCAATAGTAAAACTGACACCACAACAACAGTTGCAACAACAAATGCTGAATGACCCCACTATGTTGCAACAAATGTCAAGCAACCCTATGCTTTTAAACCGAGTTATTGGTGCACAGAGTGGAGGTTTAAGAGCGGCACTTTTAGCGAAAATGGCAGGCCTATGGTGGAGCTGCAGACGGAACAGCTTATAACCCTCAAAGTCAAATGAATTTGAGTTCACTCAAAAATCAAATAACAGATGTCAAAAAGTCAAACATAGACATACAGAAGCAAATAAGTGAAAACGAAAAGAAACTAGAATATGACAGACACACAAAGAAACTCAATGAGTTAAACGTAGAGAAAAAGAAGAAAGAAGAACAACTGAAAGAACTAAGTACAGAGGAATATGCGAAAAAAGTGTCAGAAAAAGCAGCAGAAGTAGCAAAAATGGAACAAGATGTTATAAATTTGAAAAACCATACTACTCAATATAAAGTACTGAAAGATGAAGAAATAAAACAAAAAGCCCTGAAGACATATATGATAGCGATGAGTATAAAAAAGAAGTTGAAGCAAATGTAAAGGCAGAAAAACTTTTACAGTTGCAAAACCAAACCGTACAGTATGAAAACTTAGCACAAGAAAGTAAAAATAACGACGCAGCCATGCAAAAGGCAATGAAAAGCGCAGAATATATAAAAGCTAACAATGACTGTTAGATGCCCAAGCCAACGCTAAAGCAGCCCAACTCATAGGGTCAATAAGGACAAAAAATAAAGCGGATGAAGACAGTTCAAATGAAGCTTTAACGAATGCTGACTTTAAGAACGCCTTCGAAGCTCTTCATAGTAAGGTGAAACAAGTGAACGACTTCTCATCTGGAAAGAAACTGAAGTCTGAAGGTTTCGACAACGAGTTAAGAGAAGTAGCACAAAATATGACGAAAAATAACAGATGCGCAGCAACGAGACAGGCAGTTCAAAGTGCCTATGACGCCGTTAGAGCAACTGTTGTTGAAAAGTCAAGAAAGAGTTACAACAGACCAAACAGACCTAGTAAATGCTTTCTTAAAAACGAAAAGTCAGGTAGGACATTACGCTGCAGATGGAACATATGTGCCAGCTGGTGGAACTTATTATACCACCAAACCCTCCAAAGCAGCACCTGCACCAGGACTACCTAACACATTTACATCGTCACATGGACATAGACACAGGCATGCACCACAACAACAACCAAAACCAACACAACAACAACACAACAACCAGCACAGAAACCACCGCCACACCAAGCACAACAACCAGCACAAACAGAGCAAGGACATAAAAGAAGTAGAGAACAAGGAAACCAAGAATTCTTAAAAATGCTTAAGGAAGAGTATGGTTACCCAGATACTCTTGACTTTAGTGACAGATATAAAGAAGCTATTAGAAAGTTCAAGGAAGGAAATACTGACCCGAACCTATTTAGCTTTATGGCTCAGCACCAAATGGGATATAATTTCAAACCTGGAAAATACAAGCTCGCTAAGGGATATGATTTAATAGCATATCATCCAAATGACATGACTGAATTTACTCCAAGATATTTGGTGTCAGAGCTAAATGATAATTCAACTCTCTTCATGAAACGCGTAAAAAATAGAGACGGAACGAAAAAAGAAAGGTTTATGAGTCCGGATGACTTAGATAGGGAACTTTTTAAAAACGGTCTCGGAATATATGAAATGCCAGCAGATGAGGTACAAGAAACTCCACAGGAAGAAGTTCAGATACAACCAGACATGGAAGAAATAGTTCAGCAACAACAGCTAGAAGAGCCTGAAGGAAACGAACAAGTCACTCCTTTGGAAACTAACTTCACAGAACTAGATGAAGATTTGGAACAGCCGAAAAATCTTGACCCTCAACAAGAGTATGCGGTGAATATGGAATCTTTCCAAGAGTCTAAAAAAAATTCGGCTGACATAGTAGAAGAATATCGAAAAATGTTTGCCGACATACAAAAGACTCCAACACCAGATGAAAATATTCAGCATAGAATGGAAGTACTGAAAAAAAATGTACACAAATACAACAACCCTTTTTACTTACGAGCATTTAACGTTCAATCTTCGGATGAACTCGGTGAAGATAAAAGGTTAAATTTCAAGAAAACATATAGAAATGAAACATTGTTTAAAGTTCATTCAGAACCTAGCCAAGATGGAAACAAACCTACTTTTGTTTCTGCAGACGATGGAACTACAATGAGATGGGGTCATAAAGCTAACCCAGATAGGTGGTTCATAAACTTACAACCACAATTCCAAGAAGTTGTAGACGCAATGGAAGTCAATGGTGAACCAGATATAGCTGGTATTTCAGCGCGGCTTTAATGCCATTGAAAGATATGAACATGCAGATATTTTGGACCAGTATGAAATGAACATGGCTGATGGAAATATAACACCTGACGTTCTAGAACATTTATCTCAAAGAACTACACAGAACCATAGAGATGGTATATTTGGTGAAGAGTTTTAGAAAGAAAGTTAGGGAGGGAGAAGGAAGAGAACCTATTGTACATGACCTTGCAAACGAAAGTTTACAAAATGTCATAAAAATTACTTTGCAGACAATGAACCGAGAAGGGATGAATATTTAAGAAAACTCAAATGGACAGTACCAAATGAAATGTTGTATTGAAAAACATGTTTCCTTGACAAAATAAAACCAACTACAGAAATAAACGACGCAAGACTGAAAGATTGGGTAAAAGCTTTCCCATTCACAAAAGATATTGTTGGTAACATGGAAAGAAAACCAGAATGGCTCAAAAACATATATTTGGAAACGAGCTTATTCCATATGGACAGGCACTGTTTGAAGAGCTTGAACCGGAAACTCAGGAAAGAGTCATGCAAACAATACGCGAAGACTCAAATACAGACTATGACAAACTCTTTCTAGGATATAGGTTACCTGAGATGGGCGACCAGAGCCAAAAGGCAAAAAGGACATGGGAAATTGCAACATACTAGATGAACATAATGCAAAGATGCAACAACTTCAAGCAGAGGGCAATGAAGGAAAAAGAAGAGTTAAAAACTCAGTCAGGAAGAAAGTAAAGCTTGGTCGGAGTGGGTTCTATTATGACATATAAATCCAACTATTCTATATTTTTACTCATATGAAATGTACGCTCAGAATATAACGCCAACAGTTTTGGATGCTATGAATGGAAATGTTTCCGAATGGTATAACGAATGCGACAATGCCATTAGAAGGTCAGAAATAGTTCCTGGAACTTACGAATATACAACTGCTGTTTCTTATGGAAACGTAGGTGAGTTTGGAGAAGGTTCTTCAACAACAGTAGATATTGCTTGCGACAGGTTTCATATAATTTCTATTGACAACTCTTTCTTATACGTGGAACAAGACATTGAAATAAAACCTTCTGCCAAGTTGTCTGACAAGAAAGGTTGCAATGGAATTTTCTATGTCGGATACCAATATGCTCCAGAAGTTTTCATGGGATATAAGATATATTCTAACTCTGACTTAGTTCAAACAGTAACATGGGCAAACTATGAATGGTTCGCTTTGAGAAACTCAGTACAACCACAAGCTAGAGAACAAACAGACCAGTATGCAACTATTGAGAAAATAAGAAGACTTGACCCTAACGTTCCAGGAGTTTATGTTAACCTTTCTGGTTCAGATGGAAATGCTGTCACTAAAGTAAAACTGAAACTTAGAGTTCCTTTGTCATCTTTCCTCATCTTCAGGTTTTTAAGATACTTGCCAAACTGGGCAGGAAAAATTTCTATTGAACTTACTCCAAGCAAAAATAACTTAGTCATTGCACCAACACAAGACCCATTCACTATTACTGTAGCTGGAACTGGTGGAGCCAAGTTCTGTGACTTTTGCAAAGACAAAGTTGACTTAGACTTTGGTTTCTCAAACCTCAACACTGAAGTAAAGTATTATTTCAATGCTGCTGGAACTGCTTGGGACCCAGTTAGGTTCACATGCGAAAAATTTGAATGCAAGAGAATAGAAAGCAGACTTGCAGTCTATATGTTGGACCAGATATTTCAAATGCTTTAGCTGCCAAATATATTGCAGTTCCACTTATGTTCCCTATACACCAAATATCTGTCAAAGACTTTGCAGGTGAAGTTGGAAACCAAAATCCAGGAACCGCAGGTGCAAGAACAGATATTGCTTTAACAACTGCAATGAACACGCAGATACTATGTTTGTACTGTTCAAGACGAACTATAAATGACTATTCTTGTTTCTACAACCCTGGTTATTAAATATCATATAAACATAGATGGCAAATATTATCCAAGAGAAGAATATTCTACAGTTGAGGATATGAGGTCATACAACTTGACATTAGATGCTATGAACTTTAACAACAACTTCACAACAACCATTAACCCTGAAATGCAAAGTTCTATTATGCCATATGTGAAAGTATGGACTCATACAGGAGGTCAAAAAACTCCATATACAAATGGAGACCGTTCAAACTTTTGGCTTGGCATTCCATTTGCTGACTCAGAAGACTTTATGGGTGGTATTTCAACTGTTGGTACTGTACAAATACAATTACTGGTGACAGAGACGGTCCATATGAACTGAGAGCAATGAAGTTTACAAAACCAATAGCACTTTTCACGGAAGATGCTCTTTTGAAGATTCGTTCGATGAAAACTGCTGGGGCTCCTCAGATTGGCATAACGACAGCTTCCATCGAGCAGATTTTGGCAGCAGGTCAGTAAGTTGTTCTTGAACTGACTTCTCTCCGTCAAATATTGACAGTACGCCAGTTTTGACATAATATTGTATTATAAACTTACCTTTAGAAATATCTGTAAGTTTTGAAGTTATATTTTTGTCTGCTTCAAGAACTTTCACCATTTCAGTTATACCAACTTCTTTGCTTTATGAAAATATTTTGGTTCAGCAAAGACCTGCTATTCTATAACATTTCCATTGTTGTGTATAAAGAACTATTCTGTCAATGTATTTGTATTGTTTGTGTGTGTAAACTTTGTTCTGCTTCAATTCGAAGAGATATCCGAATACGTCCATCTTTTTATTCTAAGTAAAATGTCATTTCCGAAAAATAGAAGCGTGAGTGTTTCAAAAGGTTTTAATGGCGGTGGCAGATGTGAAGTTAAATTCACCAACTCAACAAACAGTCAAAGTGTTGTTGTCAATGTCAAAGAAAGATGTTGAAGTGGGGAAACCATACGAAGACGAAGATGGTATAACAATAGTTCCTGTAAAGAACAACCAACATATCCTGAAGTTAGCAGAGACTTAAGTTCTGTTGCAGATATTCGAAATGACTACAAACAACTGAAAGACAAACTTAAAACTCAGGAGAAGATTTGTCAAGCTTTAGGTATAATGTTAAACTTGGTCGAACACAACCCTGTAAAAGTGAACTCATATGTCATCGCACCTCATGAAATTTTGAAAGAACTATTGAAACTTTTGAAGAGGCAGACGATATAAACATCAAAGAAATAGACCCGACGTTAGTTGCTGTGGTGTTTCATATAATGTCATTGACAAGATATACGTTATGAAAGGAGGTGAAACGTTGAACTTAAAATATAGTTTCCCAGACGTCATAAAAATATTTGACGAACCAACATTTCATTAAAATTTATTTGCTAAGTAAATGGCAGAAGACATAGTGGTTTATACTATTACGACTAAAAACCTGAGTCATATAATTCTATAACAACAAACTTACAAAAGTCCTCAAGGACGATATTGTAAACTAACCTTAAACACAATGACGACTAAAGCCTGTTTTGCTTTTGACACAGAAGATTTTATTGTTGTGAATGGTAAAAAATACTCCTTTGAAGATACTTATCAGATATACCACAACAGGTTTTGTTGACTTATTTAATACTTTAAGGACGGGTGTAACATGTGCTGCAACTAGAGCAGGTTTCATTATGTTTGGATGTCCGACTGAGTTTACTATAAACAATATGAGCTATAATACAAAACTTATTTCTGGTTTTTACTACCAACAATTTCCTATAACAGGAAAAGGTGTCATACAGGAATGTCTATTCCATTGACATTAAGCACACCTATTTTATATATTGTTTCAAACTTAGGTTCAAAGTGCTATTCGAATGTTGACAGAAACTACTATGACCAAAAGATATCATGCGTATAAACAACACTTTCTCTGCTGGTTTGCCTATTGTTCATTCGAATGCAGAGTTTCAGCTTTATAAACTCAAACACTTAGCAAACATAAACTTAACCTTAGTTGACGCAAACTTTTGTTCCTGT